GTGATTTTATACAGGTCTAACAGAGACTGGGATAATGGCTACAATCAAAAGAGATTCGTGACTTATATGTGAATTTTTTTGTGTTAGTTATTTGTTTGCCTAATTGTTTGCTTAATTTAATTGTGTTATCATGTTAATTTAAATTTCATGTTTGATGGTAACCACATTGACATAGTGATGTGTGTCCGTCCAGATAACATGAATCGAAGGAGGTTATAGCTCATACAAGAAATAAAAAGTTTAAAGAATGGAAGCGATGTAATTGATCACCTCGATAACTTTCATGTAACTTCAATTTTTTTCCAGAATTCATGGTGTCTTTTGGTATATTGTTTTTTCACTTCAATTTGTGCTTTGTGATCTCACATGTTTATCTGGATCAAACCAAGGAACAGATATGGCCGAAAATAAGTGCAGTTTTCATCGGAGTTTTGATGTTTCTTATCTTTTTGCATCGAGTTTTATCAACATCAAAGTTTATTATAGCTAACTATAATTTTTTTTCATAAGCTATAATTTCTTTATTTTATTTCAGCTTTAGGTATGTATTTTGATCTCAATTATGATCTGGAAAAAATAACATTTTGGACATTTATAATTGCATCTTTTTCGCTAACAATAATGTGAAAGTATATATGTATAATCAAAAAGAGAAGTACCATTTTTATCTACCATTAAGAAGTCTTACTAGGTCCATTTCATTAATTTCATAATATAACATAATAATCAATAAAATATTAATAATAAATCAATTTTGATTATTAATTTTAATTATATTTTTAGTTATAAAGAAATCTGTTGAGACAAATTTAACAAAATCCTACTAAACATTTTAAATATTTTTTTCTTAAATAATGCATTAATTAATTCGTAATTAAGTAACATAATATTAGTTTAAATTATATTAATTAAATTTTATTATAACCTAAAAATAAAGTAGATTGATATTTTTAATAAATTTATAATTATAGTCCATATCTTCTCTATTAAAAGAGAAATACCATTTTTATCTACCATTAAGAAGTCTTACTAGGTAGACATATGGATTTTATAATATTTATTTAAAAAAATATCATGCTTGGTGATGTAAAACTAAAAATCTA